GCTTATAGCTTATTTGGTTAGCTTATAAGCTTCTTGTATTCAAATAAGCCTCGTTTGGTAGGACGAGCTTATTTAAAAAGCTCGAGCTTATTTGATAAGCTTGTTTATGTAGCTTTTCAAATAAGTTAGTTGAATTTTTTTATTCCAGCTAGCTTATCAGCTAATTTTACCAAACATTTTTATCATATAAGCTAGCTTTTCAGTTATAAGTCATAAGCTATAAGCTAGAAAATTACATATCTATAAATTAGTTTATCAGCTATCAGCTAGCTTATCAGCTAGTTTTACCAAACATAGTCTTAACAGTTATAATGTGTTTTAGATTAGATTTTCTTCTCATTACTCATCACATTGATCTGTAGCACCGTAGCTAGCTATTGTCCGTTCTGATACTGATACAACAACCAATTTTCGAAACCTCACCTCCACCTTCCAAACCATCTCTCTCTCATCAATGGCGGAATTTCTATATACAATCTACTGCTGCGATTCTGATTTCTGAAACCCATTTGTAACGTCCGAAGAAAAACACGATCCACTTGACAGATCGAAGGAGAAAAGGGGGCTAGCTCATAAAACCCTTATTACTCATCAGAAAGGTAACGGTAAATTGCCGTCGGAAAAGAACTGAAGTTCTTCTCCATCATTTTGGCCGTGGAGAAATCCGGTTGGAAAATATGCCGTCCTCTCCCAAGTTTTTCCACGCGCGCCCACATTCCTGGAACAGCCGTCGATTGACGGCCATGATACTCTGTTCGCTCGTCGGGTTCTCGTGCTTCGTCTTTGGGTTCGTCGCGATCTCGCGGGCCGGGCTCGGTAAGGGGTGCAAATATGGCAAGCCTATATCGGTGACTGTGGCCTGGGATAGATCTTCGGCCGGTGGTGCGAAGGGTGGCGGCGTTTTGGGTGAGGGGCACAAGCGTCAGAAGGTGATGGGATTCGTGGGTGTGCAAACAGGATTTGGATCTGCGGGGCGCCGTAGAGTCTTGCGTCAGACTTGGTTCCCCTCTGATCATCAGGGGCTTCAACGGTATCCGCTGACGCATTTTATTCATTCTTGTCTTTTTAGGTTTTTGAGCTGTTTGTGTCACACGACGGGTGTGTGGGTTTCTTAATCTGAATGTGTTAGTTATCCATTTGGTTGGTTTTTGCTGAAGATGATTTATAACTGTTCCTTTATTTTTGGCTGTTCACTTTCTGTTTGGTATGTAAAATAATGGTTTGTATCACTGTTGTTTTACATTAATGCGATTTTGTTTTGTTTCTTACGTTGGAACTAATGGTAGGTTAGAAGAAAGCACGGGGATGGTTTTTTGGTTTGTAATTGGTAGAACCAGTGATAGATCGAAGATGGCAGCACTTAAGAAGGAGATTGCCGAGTATGATGATTTCCTGCTGCTAGATATTGAAGAAGAGTACAGTAATCTACCATACAAAACGTTAGTTCCTACATTTTGAACGTGAATCCTATACACATTTGCTCTATGGTTCAATCTGAATTGTGACTTTTTTCACAGCTTAGCCTACTTCAAAGCTGCTTATGCTCTCTATGAGTCTGATTTCTATGTCAAAGCTGACGATGATATCTATTTGCGACCAGGTGAGTAGTCTTAGGACATTGACGGTGGCTTAACATTTGTACCTGTTCTCAAGTTTGTTTGCTCGGTTGAATTTCCGCACACAAACCCTACATTTTTCTTCTGTTATTTGTTCATGAGCAGATCGCCTTTCCTTGCTCCTGGCCAAAGAGCGCTCTCACTCACAGACATATCTTGGTTGCATGAAAAAGGGTCCTGTGTTCACTGATCCAAAGTTAAAATGGTTAGTCCTTTATACTTCTTTTACATATCATTGGTGTGATGTATAGGCTTTAGCTACCAGTTTTCATATGACTTGGACAATTATTTTTTCTTGAAAATCACGAATATATTATCATTGGTACTAATAAATTATCTCTCATAAGAATATGTTCTTATACTCACCTAGTTTGTACTGTTCCAAATGATCTGAATGGCTGCTTAAAAAATGATCAATAAAACTGCAGATATACAACACATAGAGTTTAACACCTGTAGGATCAGTGAAACTGCAGTCTGCAGATAAACAATGTATATAGTTTAACAACTATAGGATAGTGAACGGTTGATAGCATTTATTTGTTGTTATTTATCATGGGGTTTCAGATAGAGCTGTCATTAAGTCAATTTAGATGTCTTCTTCTAAACCTTTCATTGGGACCAATATAAATTTCTCCGTCGAATTGCAGATTTCAGGAAGGCTAGGTGCATGAAAAATAACAAAATGACTAGTAGTGTATAGTTTCACAGTCACTCATATAAAAGTGGATGATTTCACCTTGCTAATTGTTACGCATTTTACACAATAATTTTTTCCACGGTCACTCCCCTCTTCCTGTGAATGTTGAATCAGTATGTAAAACTATATATTTATATGACGGAATGACATAAAGCTAGGAAATTATTGTTGCTGTTAAAGTAGGTGACGGATTCACTTCTATGAATACAGGTATGAACCTTTGGCACATTTGCTCGGCAAGGAGTACTTTCTTCATGCATACGGTCCAATTTATGCTCTTTCAGCAGACGTTGTGGCAAATTTGGCTGCCTTACGAAATGACAGGCTAGTTATATTACCAATCTGTTTTCCATGAATGGCTTCCTCACTTCCTTAGATATGTTTCTAGTTGGCTGTGTTTTGTCATTGTTATTATTCTTCTACCTCCTTTCTCTAGCATTCATTCACACAACTGCAACTACAAAGGCTATTTTCCTTTCCAGAAAATGATCCGACTCAGAACTGAAAGGAATACCTTGCTTTGAAAGTTAAGCAACTTCTGTTCACTGATGATTATTAAATCCCAAATAATGTTGCTTAAATGAAGCTGCTGTAGAAGCAACAAGTGAGGTTGCTCATTTGGAGTCGGTCTGTAAGTATTCCATTGTAGCGAGTTAGAATTTACTCTTCAGAGATGAGAATATCAACCATGAAAATGTGGGGAGACCTGCATAACTAACTTTTTATGTACATATTGGTTAAATTTCGGGCTTCACGCAAGCCCTTAATTTTTAAGCTTGTGAAATTATTTTATAATTAGTCATCTTGTTAGAAAGGAAACTCTTTGTATGTATGATGATGTATCCAGTTGCTTCATGGCATGTCTGGGTATATTGGGTAAAGAGAAACAACCATGTGGTTAGGTTAAAACAAGCACCAATATAATTTACGTATGTGATCTGCTTGCATTTAATTGAATTATTCCTGGGTATGTACTGTTGATTAATTTTTTCGATACCCTATCCTTTGCATACAATGGTTGGACACCTAACATGTTTTTCATTTCTATATCATATCACAGTTTCCGAATGTTTAGCAATGAGGATGTTACAATTGGTTCATGGATGCTCGCAATGAATGTGGATCACGAGGACAGTAAGGAACTATGCAGTGTAGAGTGTACATCCTCATCTATTGCTGTCTGGGATATTCCGAAGTGTTCAGGTATGTATGTATAATGTATATAACCCCTACCATTTTGGACGGAGGTCTATATAAATATTACTCCATCAACAGAAATCACCTAGATTTTATTAGTCATTCTTCATTACATATCTTGTAATTTTTCTAGGACTTTGCAATCCCGAGAAGAAGATGTTGGAACTTCATAAGTTAGACGTATGTTCAAAAAGCCCGACTCTTCCATCCGAGGGAGAAGATGATTAGCACTCGTTTTTGATCGAGTTTAGTTACAGAAATCACATTCACGGCAGTTCTGTCTCCTACCAAGTCATGTTGTTGTTGACTTGGTATTATTCTGCTCGTACAGCTCTTTATCTTTTTGTACCCTAATTCTTGTCACTCCCATGAGTAGAAGAAAAATTTTGGTGACCATGATCTTATAGCTTTTAGAAGTTGAAAAGGTGGTGAGTACTGGAATTATCAATTCTTGTGTCATATGCTGGACATTAATTGAATATTCTTATAGTTTTTATTCCAGGTTGATCAATATTTAACAGATGTACATTTTTTTTTTTTTTTTGATTGTCCGATTAGATAATTGATTAAAAAAAATCAAATATATATATTTTATATTTATATATATATATTTATAAATATACGTAGAAATAAAAAAATAAATAATATATACATAACATTTATTCCTAAAAAATTAAATAATATTGTATCTAATTCCAAATATTTACTTTTAAAGTAAAAGTATTTAAAAAATAACAAGTATTATTCCAGTCAAGTTAGGTCGGGTTGATCAAATTTGACCAGGTCCTTTGTTACGTCCCTAGCTTTGGGTTGACCTGCCAGACCAGTCATAAAGATGTTCTGTTTCTTTGGAACTATATCACCACAAGTAACACAACACAATCTTGTGAATACTATCGTAAACGAACCAAACAGAAATGAGATTGGGGTGTTCGAGCTCGTGTTCATTTACGTTCAAATAATGTTCGTGTTCGTTTTTTTATTTTTCGAACAAATAATCATGTTGGTGCTCGTTCGTTTAATTGTTTGTCAAAGTTCGAGTTCGTTCGTGTTCGAATAATTTAATACATAAACTTTTTAAATATGTTTGATTAACTCGAAATTTGTTCGTTCGAACTCGAAAATAAAAATATAAAATAAAAATGCTTTTACATTTTAGATTTTTTGTTAAAATATTATGTAAATATATATAAAAAAATAAAATTAGTATCCCGAACGAACTCGTGTTCGTTCGATTATTAAACGAGCCTAATTTTTTTGTTTGAACTCAGCTCAATTAACGAACGAATAAGCTTTTGTCGAACATGAACGAGCTTTTGTTCGCGAACGTTCGGTTCGTTTACAGCTTTACTTGTGAACAAAAGCTGAAAAATATACGCCTAAGATTATATGTTTGGTAAACTTGGCTGATAAGCTAGTTTATATCTTATAATTGATTTTCGAGCTTATAGTTGATAACTTATGACTTATAGCTGAAACGTTAGCTTATATGATAAAAGCGTTTGGTAAAATTAGCTGATAAGATAGGTTAAATAAAAAATTCAATGAGCTTAGTTGAAAAGTACTCGTCTTGCCGAACGAAACTTATTTGAATACAAGAACCTTATAACTTATTTGGTTACCAAACATATCACAAGTCTAAAGCACAATTTAAAAAAAAAAAAAAAAAATCTTTAGTGAATGAATGAAAATATGAGTCAATTCAAGGTGGATCCTTTGTGTTTTAGATCAAATTTAATGTTGAAAATTTTGAAAGAATTAAAAAAAATGCCAACAATTTCTATGCCAAATTTCTTGAGAAAATATAAAACATCTAAAAAGCATATGAGAATGTTATACCTTAATAGCAATGCTTGCCATGTGACACCTACGCGAGTGGGCAAATGTTGGGTAATGTCACCACACCAACAATATATATATCATCGGCATTCAATTTCCCCGAATTAATAGATGGATTAATTGTTACGTAATAATCAAATTATTGAAAAATGCTATAGTCCATTACAGAATAATTTCTTCGGGATTTATAATCGTTAAATCATCATGTAACCATCATGAATAGTTGATCTAACGGTTACAAACCCCGACGGAATAGTTCCGTAACGAGACCCTAGATATATTATTTAGACAATATTTTATACTACTAAAGTATCATATAGTACTACAACATAACATAAATAATTGTGCTAAATTAACTTGGAAGTGAGTGGAATTTGAGTTAATAATTACTGCTTTGATAAATTTAATGCACCAAATACTTTACGGAGATTTATAAAAGTTGTACTAAATGCTGTAACTTAAACTCAGTACAGATAATTTTGTCTAAAATAAATGGTAAGTCAGCGAAAAAAAACAAAGTCCATTAAATAGAAATAACCATATAAAATCATATAATTTGGATATATGGGACAATACATTGGATCATACTTTATAATCTATTTTGACAATAAATTGGATATATATAATTATATATTACACGTAAGACGGAAAAAAAATATATAAAAAAGTCATCAAAAAATATAAAATTGAAAAAAAAAAAAAA